GTGCGAGCGGGCCAGCAGGAGCCTAGCAGGCGGGCGTCGCTGGCCCCCGGGTCCGGGACAGGGGATTGGGGGAGGGGCCGCGCGGGAGGGTGAGGAGCTTCAGGTTCCTGAGACCCGAGCTCCGCGAGTGCGGGCAGGTGGCATTGTTAGGATCACTGCTGCCTGGGGACGGGGGAAGATGGGCTCTGGGAGAGAAAGTGTGTGAGTTGTAGAACTGAGTCATCTCAGTTCCCGGGACTGTACACCAAGAAGATGGTGCCACAGGACAAGTGACGGGCAGAGTTTGGTTGAGGAATTATTTCAATTGATCGTGATGATTATAATGACATATTTCAGTGGTCAGTTGTTAAGTTTATTCTTTTGTTTAATTTTCTTTGACCCAGATCACTTTGTTTTTGTTTTTGTTTTACTTTAAATGAAAACTTTTGCCAACTGGATTTAATATGGGCGCAAGTCTTTTCATGCTTTGTACACCATAAGAAAGCTAAAATAAAATGAAAGCATTGCAGCAGGCCTAACTCACATTTTCTAAAGCGTCAAGAGAGAAAGTAAAGGAAGTCAGGCAAATTGGAATTTGGATCTTTCGCAGAATTCTAAAGGCATAACCAACACTAAGATAAAATGAGAATTTTTACTATTTTTTCCACCTAGCTTTTAAAATTCTATACCCTTTTTACTCTATAAAAAATTGATAAATCCAAACCATTTTTATTGCTAGGGATGTGATTACTTCCCCGTGAAGTTTTGAAGATGCTAAAGATTGTGTGTGTGTGTGTGTGTGTGTGTGTCTGTGTGTCTTCCATCCCAGTTCTAAAACACTGAAAACAATGCAAATATCATGTTCCAACCTGTGCGATACAGTTGCTTCTTTCATGTGATGACAAAATTACACACCATGTTGTGCAGGTTCCCTTCACCCTAAAATTTTCCCTTGCGTAGTAATCCATTCATTATGGAGACTTGCTGAGAAAACATAAGTCAAGGAAGGTTTGTTGGGGGTGGGAGCTTAGAGAGAAGGAATGAGAATTTAGAAGTAGAGAAGGTGTGAAAGGGGTGTTTGGAGACTGACTGGTAAGAATGCAGATAAACCTGCCCCCCCATGCTTTTGGCCTGAAAGTCTTTTCTTTTTGTATTCATTATAGAAAAAGAATCGTAGTAGAAATGAATCAGAAAGAAAAGAGTTGTGCGATTTGCTTGACCACATATTAAAAAAAAAAAAGCATTAACTTGTTTAGACAATGTTGATACCTGTTTCAAATTAATTAACTTTAAAATCTCCTGAGGAATTCGCTCCTGTTTGTTTTTGAACTGAGGATTGCAATTTGAGACTCCTACCTCCTTGCCTACCTCCTTGTGTGTTTTTTTTTTCTTTCATGTTGTTGAAATTGGATTCTTTTTGAGACTATAATGTCCACTTAGCCTGGTTCAGTCCATTCCACAAGCAGGCTGGCAATTTGATCTGGGAAATTTGCAAACTTTAGACTCAAGAGCAGTGTGTTTGGTCTTTTTCTGTAAGAGAAATCATGTTGTCTGCCTGATAGTTCTGTCTAGCTTGGATGGCAATTTCTTTCTCTGATGAGCCTTCAAACATAGGGGATATTCTTTCTTTCTTTTGTAAGCAGGCGAGATTTTTTTTTTTTTTTAAGTTACAACCCCTTGTACAGTGCAAACCCTGTTGCCTTTTCAGCAGTAAATAGGAGTGTTGGATAATGTAGAGGGAGAAAGATCAGAACCCAGATATTGGAAGATTAAATAACTTCTGGATTTGCTTTTTTAAAAAAAATGCTCAATAATCTACTACTACCAAAGTTTACCCTATTTCCTTTCTTTCTTTCTTTTTTTTGGATACTGGGGATTGTACTTGGGACCTTGTGCTTGTAAGGCAGGCAGTGGAGCCACTGAGCTAAATCCCAGGCCCATTCCTTCATAGATCTTGTTCCGTCATTTACTCTCCTTTCCCAGGCTCCCAGCACTCAACTTGTGTTGAAACTCAGGTTTAGGAGCACATGTTTAGTGGTCAGAGCTATGGCCTTTTGGAGAAATGAAAACCTTTTATACCTGTTTCATGTAGTTGTTTTTTCCCCCTTCCTCCTCGTTTGTGGTTTGGTTAATCACAAAGTGTAGAGCCATCGTGCCTGCTAGGCCGTGCCCTGGTCCAGAGCCATGCCACACTGTGAGTGAGACTCACGGCAGTGATGGAGCCACTGCAGCAACAGCAACAGAAGCAGTCGCATCTGGCTCCTCTGCAGATGGATGCCCGAGAGAAGCAGGGACAGCAGATGAAAGAAGCCCAATTCCTGTATGCCCAAAAGCTAGTCACACAGCCTACTCTCCTTTCTGCCACACCTGGGAGACCTGCCGGCAGCCCTGCCCTGGGTCCCTTAGCCAGAGTTTCACCAGCTACACCAGTGGCCCGAGTTTTTGAACGGAGCAATGTGAACTCAGAGCCTGAGGAAGAGGAAGGAGGTTTGGAAGATGAGGATGAGGATGATGATGTTGCAGAGGTGGCTGAAAAAGAGGCCCAGGCTGCTTCCAAATACTTTCACGTGCAGAAAGCCGCACGCCAAGACCCCCGAGCAGCATCCATGTCTAGTCTGCTTCCAGCACCAGGACTCCCCCAACATGGACAACAGACTAAAGAAGACCATACCAAAGATACTTCCAAGGGTCCACCTTCTGTTTCCATGGCTGGGCAGCCAAGCTGGAATCCAGAGGAGCAGCTTAAACAGGTGAGTGTTTCTGCCATGGGAGGCTGTTTGTTCTTCCCCAAGGTGAGGTAGAAATGGTACTGGATGGCCAAGAGCAGGGCCTTGTGCAAGTCTGGGCTTCCTTGTCCTGTGTCGTTGACCCACAGCCAAGACTTGAATAGACTTTGAATTTTTTTCTCACCTTTGCTTTCTTGGGAAGGAGCTACAGTTCTTTGTATGCTTAGTATGGTCAAAGCCCTACATCAGTGGTGGCAAACCAGTGGTATGCATGCCCTAGCTGGCTGTTTGTTATTGAAAGCTCTGAAAGATTCGCATTACTCCCTGGTTTCTGTCCCCACCATACAAACATAAATTAATGATTTTTTAATGTTTGTTTTCTTGATTGAAACAGTAAGAATGCATGTTAGTCTTTATGCAGATTGACTCAAATTTGATGTGAAAGAATGTCAGAATACCCTCTTTTTCAAAGGAAGGATGAGTTTGCTGCAGTGTCATGAGGACTATCTAAAAATGGGGTACTTGACTGTCATTAATTTTTCTGATAATAACAAAAGAACAGTCTTGCCCAAGCATTTCCTAGTTGCAGGCTAATGAAGAACAATACCCTTTAAGGACAGTTTGTTGTAGCTGAACATAGTTGGTAAGAAGCATTTGTATCATATTTTTCCCAAGAAAACGTCTTGTATACATTTTTTCATTTCATCTTTATATTGTCTGCTTAGAAATAAAGGATAGACCACACAATTCCCTTTGTAGCTACAGATAGCTGAAATGACTTCTAAACATGGCTGAGTATCAGTCAGCTAGGGGGCTTTTTAAAAAGGCAGACTGCAGAGTCCTAATGAATGATCACAGAGGGTAGAGCCAAGGGAATCTGTGTTTTTAACCAAACCTTTGATTTATAATTTCCCTTTTCTGTGTGGCCTGCACTGCAGTTTTCCTCGCTTAGAATGAGAGTGATGACAAGTTGTGCCAGGGTTGATTGGCTTGTTAGTTTGGACAGAGTTCATGATAAAGCCATTAGTATATGGGTGCTATGGGCACGCTCTATGTGGCCCAGAAATGCCATTTAAAAATTATTGATTAGGAGCAGTGGGCTTACAAAGGGCAACTGAAGTCATGTAAGAAAAATCCTTTGGAGCTGGGGATTTAGCTCAGTGGTTCTGCCGCCTGCCTTGTAACCACAAGGACCCGAGTTCCATCCCAGGTACCAAAAGAAAAAAAGAAAAAGAAAAATCCTTTGGAACCTGAAAAATAAAGCAACTTTGGATCAGGAAGCCCTATAAAGTTGCGCCAAGTTTTACAATGCCAGTGTTGGTGTTAGAGTCTGCAGTAGGAAATGGATCTGGCTGCATCCCACTCCTTCCGTATCTTACCCTTGGAAGCTTTTCATGACACTGAGTTTCTCTGGCCTGTGTCTTCCCATCTGTATAATAAAAATAACAAAGAGGCCCCGGCGATGTTAGGGTTAATGAACTAACCCACGTGAATGTCTGCTCAGTGCCAGGCACTCTGTAGCCAGTGGTTGTGCAGGATGTTTGATACAGACAGTGCCATCCTGCATCCACACCAGCATGCTTCTAAATGTGCAGAGGATTTCCTCATATCACCCAGGGAGACAGCAACAGACCTAGGACTAGAATCAGAAGCCTTCCACAACAGCAGCTCCCTGGCTGCCAGCCCAGACCCGCCTCCCAGCTGATGGCTTTGGTTTAGCAAAACATCTGTGAGTTGCTGGCAGCCCCCTGTGCGGCTATGTGGTTGGCAGAGTTCCATGCCGGCAGCGGCTGGCCGCTGAGTCAGCTCCTAGTGGGATTCCCGCCCTGATAATGCTGGGAAAGTTCAGGCCCCAGGCGACTGGCTGCCCCTGCCTTGGCAGCTGGCCAGCCTCTGCATGTGTGCGGTCATTCCTAGAAAGTGCAGCCTCGTGCATGGAACAAGTGCGCTCCAGAGCCTGTCTGTCTTCAGGAAATGCAGCAGGTGTTGAGGTCAGGCCATTAGAGCTTGGATAAAAGAGGTTCTTCATAACTGGTGTGTGTGTGTGTGTGTGTGTGTGTGTGTGTGTGCGCACGTGCACTGCAGCAGGGCTCTGAGCCCCACATTGTGGATGGCATCAGCCCAGGGCTGCATAGCTCAGTGTTGGAGGGGCTGGCTGTTGGCATTAGAAGCTCTTTTGAGTTCATTTCAGTTTCTCCAGCTTACTTGCTAATTATAGACTGCCTTGTCAGAGGACCTGCTAAAATGTATACATAGATGCCAGAGTAGCTGAGGCTGATCCCACCCAGAATTTACCTTACCCCTGAACTTAGAGGTCAGGAACCAGGTCAAAGGGGCATTCATTGGGTAACAGTGACTTAAATTCTTGATGGGCACCTTGTGTGCCTCTTGTGGATTCACTTTTACAAAACTGATTTAGTGTGTGCTCTCCTTCCTCTAATCTACTTTTAAAGTAGTAAATAAATGTACTTGAGGGTTACAAAATTGTTTTTTAGTTGTGCTTTGGAAAGAAGACTAAAAAAGCAGTATTCATGTGGAGAGCCTACAGAAACCATATACACCATGAGACTGGCTATTTTTATTGCTCAGTCTTCTCTGTGTGTAATTAACTTCTGGAAAGCAGAAAAGGCCTTGCACAGTTGATACAAGATCTTGCTGTTAATGTGTTACAGTGTCCATTTTGTTCTTTTAAACAAGGAACTTGCAGATAGGATCTCTGAGCTGGTGCTATGCAACCTCAAAGCAGATTGGGGCTGGGTACCAATAGTGACTCTCCTGTGCCTGCTGAAGCCCAGCCCCCAGTCTGTGCTATTATGCAGTTTTTTATTAGTACATATTTGCAGTACGTAATGATTAATTCATTATGCAGAGTTGGTATATGTATTTTTTTTTTGACAAGGAAAATGTTCATTGGAAGTTCAGTATAATACTACTACATGAGAAAATGGCTAAAATGGAAATACCGAGTGTGTTTCTTAATTCCAAACAAATAGAATTTTTCTAGTTTTCTTCTTTACTCATTTCTTTATTTCAGTGACATAAGGACATGAATCAGGGTCAATTTTTACAAAAGTTCCAAGACTGGTTTATTTGGAGACAGGGTCTCACTATGTAGCTCAGACTGGGCTTAAACTCACTATGCAGCCCACGCTTGCCTTGATCTCACAGTGATCCTCCTGTCTTAGCCTCCCCAAGTGCTTAGGATTACAAGTGTGCTCTACCACACCTGGCTATTTCTGACACCATTGAAATGAATATGAATTGGTTAGTATATTTTGGGTGCTCTCTGTGAGTCTGTTAGATCACACCTATGGTATTGATTTTTTTCCAAACTCCTTACTGTAGTTGAATCCTTGATCTGCAATAATCAAGCAATAAGGAAAAAAGTTTAAAGCTCCCTAATAGAAGTGTAGGGTTATCTATTATTTGTCTTTATTTTAATTTTTGCTTTAGATATTTTGGTACATTAAGATAAATTAATTTGAACTTTAAAAATAAGTTCATAAGGCAGTAGCATTCTAACCATTTTATTTTGTCTGATATCATTTTCAATTCCTTTAATTGGTATTAGCTTGGAATTTTTTTCATATTTTGAAATTTAGTTCCTCTGAGTATTTTTATTATAGTTCTCACTTTTAAAGAGCATCTTCTTGGGGGCTGGGGATTTAGCTCAGTGGTTTCGCTGCCTGCCTTGCAAGCACAAGGACCTGAGTTCGATCCCTGGTCCCAAAAAACAAAAACTAAAGAGCATCTTCTCAGTTAACCTTTGCTAAAATAACACTATATAACAACATGAAAACTCAGTGATGCTTGGTATTGTTTAGTTCTAGTTCCTGTACCTGCTGACGCTATTGATTAGGCTAGCTGTGCTGGATGGCTTCCACCTGAAGATTCAGTTTGGGTAAGATCCATGAGTCTCATGCACTGGAATGGGAAGCACTCCTGGAATGCTTCCTCCAGAGAGGCAGAGACACTGAAGGGACATTGTAGCACATTCTGCCTTGTCTAGGCTTTGAACAAGCACAGAGCTAAATTTTGAAAATGTGTTTTCATGATCTTTAAGCATGACCTAAAGTATTTAATCCACTTATTGTTATAATTATTAATTGAATTATTCTACCATTATTTTGTGATATAGTTTTTTTGATAGGCCAGGTGTGGTGGCAAATGCCTGTAGTCCCAGCAATCAGCTGAGGCAGGAGGATTGCTGTGAGTTCAAGGCCAACCTGAGCTACATATTGAGACCCTGTCTAAAAAGAAAAAAAAAGAAGGATATTTTTCTTGATAGTACATTTGTGCTGTCTGTAATAAAATATCTGAGACTAGATGATTGATAAGGAACAAAATTCTTTTCTTTTTTTTTCAGGCTACGAAGTCTGATCAAGGGCACTGGCAGGGTCAGCATGTGGTGAAGGCTTTCTTATGGCATCACACATGATAGAAGAGCAGTGCTACTGTTAGGGCCCCATTTCCAACGGGGATGGCCCCCATCATAACTTAATCACAGCCTAAGGCCCTACCTCTTTACACTGTAGTACCATGTAGTCACTCAGATTCAGTGCATTGATTTGGGAGACATAGCACTTGCCATATTTGTGTTATTTTCTTTTTTAATTCATTATTTTCATTCACTTATTTTTACATACCTTTAAAATTATATACTTTATAATTTTAATGGACATAAGTGATTTTAATATACACCATTTATAATGTCTAGAGTCACAAATATTCTTCCCCAAAATGCAAGCATCTATTCTTGATTTATATCTCATGTGCTAGAGTGTA